TAAAGCAAGAGTTGCGAGAAAAACTTTGATTACTGTTAAAAATTATATGAGTAAATGAAAAAGATGAAATGCTGGTTTTTAGTTTTCCTACTGTAACTATTGAGATGAAATTAAAATAGTTATTGTTATAGTAAATTGAGAAGATGAAAAGTTGAATTTCATTTTGCACATTTTTGAGAGGAAATGAAAAAATATATTTACATTCAGTTTGGTGATGGTAATAGTAAAAACGAAGATGAAAAATTGAAACAGTTGCATGTGTATGATGAATAAATGTGTAAGAATGACTACCAAAGTTGTAACCAAACTCAATAATAAGTTAATGATAGTTTGATAAGATGATAGATCTATACATTTATGAATGGATGAGTAATATTTCAGCCGTTTAGCTATGTTGTGACGTTATTTTATAACGAGAAAAATGAGAATGATTTGAATTATGCCGGATTGGTAGTATGGAGATTCAATGGTGATGGTTGATAATTAAAATAAAACTAGATGCTTGCCCCCGAACAATGTTCGGGGGCGTCCCACATAATAAATTGATATGTAAATAATTAAAAATGATTAGGAATGAATTTAGGTTTTTATGAAGATAATTGATTGACCGAAAATTAATTTTTTTCGGAAGTCCTAAATAAGTGGAGAATGAAAGTTTCATTCACTGTCAAATTCAAAAATTTAAATGAACATGACCATCTGATCTCTTCGTTAATATTGTAAATTATATTTTTTGTTTTTAAAAGGAGGTGACACGTGGCAGAATGATTTATGCAATATGGTGCATTGGAGCCAAAACATTTTAATAAGAAATTGTCACATCAGTATTTTATTTTCTGTTTTAATAGGGTAAAAGGGATAAGTTTTGAAATAAATTAAAATTTTAAATTAAAAAGTTGCATGGTCCGACTGTGGCGGATGATGGTTAGAATATGGAGAAGGAGTTCAGTGGTGACAATAAAAGTATCACTTCGCCCATCCCAGAAAAATACCATAAAAATTCTCTATGTTAGTATTTAATAAATCAATAAAATTTACTAAATATAATATACTTTTCTAGTCCCAACGAAAAATGAAACAAAACTATAAGATAATAATTTTTTAAAAAAATCCTTTATAAATATTAATTCTAACAATATCATAAATTAATAAAAACTTTAAAATATCGAGCAAAATAAAATATTTCATTAATGAGGTAAGAGGCGAATTGAGTTTATTTATTCTTGAAATTTATATATGAGAAAATTCTATCTTTTATATATTTTTTTCATTATATGTATTCGAAAGATTTGGAGTTGTTTACTCAAGTTGTGTAGTTTCATTTCCCGAATATAATTAGAGAAGACCCTGTAAATTGATACGCAGGAGTATTAATTTATAGGTCCAAAAGTCATAGTTTAAAGATATTGAAATTTGTGAATCACACAAATTTTAATGTAAATTTTTTTCTAGGGTAGAGGGAGTATTATTAAAGAAATGACTCATATTTTTTTCATTAAAAGTACTCTTCATTTCAAAATTATTGTTAAAAATTCAAATTTGATAATAATTTTAAGATGGAGTGATTATGATTTTTTATATATAAAAAAAATATGGATAAATCCGCTCTTTACAAACTCCAGATGGGAATTAAAATTGAGCCTATTCCCAAAAATCACAGACTGTTATGTCATTATCAATTCTAAAAAGAATAAAATAATGTAGTCCATGGTTTTAATTTTTTTTTTTTTAAAAAAAAAAAAACTCACCAAGTGATCCCACATAAGTATGAAAATTGTCCAATCACAAATTTCCGGATAAGAATTCAACCATAATTTACTCCCAGAAAGCACAATATTCAATTCCCACAGTAATGTTGTCCATCCATGCTCTATTTAATCAATTTGTTGCAATTTGTTGAATCTAATGTAAGTAACCAAACGTTAAACAATTTATTTTTTATTTTTATTTTTTAAAGATTGGGCGCATGATTATGATTTTGTGATACTCCCTCCATTTCAAAATGTAAGTCACTTTAGGCTTGGCACATATACTTTGTAGGCAATCATCTAACAATTAATTTATGTGTTAAATATCTGTTTTACCATTTATTAATTATATTGGAACTATAAAGAAGACTAAATGAAAGTATATTGACATTATTTATTGAGGGTAAAGTTAGAAAAATAGTTATTAATTTGCCTAAAATTTATAAAACGACCTACATTTTGAAAAATCTCTCAAAACCTAAAACGAACTACAAATTTAAATGGATGGAATAATGGATTACATCATCCAAACTCCAGAATAGAAGCCTTACCGTTTAGTGTACACGGAGTATTTATTGTACTACCTCCGTCCTAAAAAAAAAATACACATTGAATTTTTAAATTTGTACTAAAAACAGTATAAAACTCAAAATTGAGAGTGGACTATTTTTTGGGGAGAGAGGTAGTAGTTTTTTACATTATTGAAACATCAAAGTTAACTTCATCGGTAAAAATGAAATCAAAAGATTCAATTCTAAGATCAGGACGTTTTAGGAGATACCTTCCGAATTGACAAGCACTTGTGCCTCTCTTTTATTTTTTGGATTTGCAAATTGCAATTTGCAAAGAGGAATCTTGAAAGTTTCATAATGAAAACCCCACACAATTCCCCACCACAAAAGAAAGAATCAATCATCATTCATCACAAAAAAGCAGCACTGTACCTTGATAGTTTTAAAAGAGCAGGGGGTGATATGCTGAAGAAACAGCATGAAGAAAAAATGTCCGATTTTATGCCGGAAGAGTTGTTGATCGAGATATTCCAGAGGCTACCCATCAAGCCCCTTGTCCGGTTCATGACGGTTTGCAAATCATGGTACAATCTCATCACCAATTCCGACTTTATTTCCACTCATCTTGATAGAACAAATGCACAAAAGAAAACCTACCAGATTCTTTTTGGGAAATCCATCAATTCATCTGGGGAGAAAGAACAATGTATGTTTTGCTACGATGATAATGATGATATATTATGTGATAGTAGTTTGTTATCTAAGATTGAAGTTCCGTTTAATTTCTCAAATTTGCTGTATAGATTGGTTGGAAGTGCTAATGGGTTGTTATGCATTCGCGATGACGTATGTCTCCGCAACCCTGTCATAATCCTCTGGAACCCGTTTGTTAAAAAGTCATTCTTTGTTCATCCACCTAACCTTGATGCTGTTATTCCTAGCTGGCATTTCTGGCAGTCTTTTGGATTTGGTTTTGATCATATAAATAATGATTACAAATTGGTTAGGATCATGCCTTTTAGGAACACTCTGTTCAATCCTGTGGTTGACTTGTATAGTTTAAACGCGCATAAATGGCAAGATATCAGTCACTTAGCTAGTGGTTTTTGTATAAATGGGGCTTGTGTTTATATGAATGGAGCACTCCACTGGGTTGGATTTGTTAAGAGTGGTAAGTATGGTGTTTTGTCCTTTGAGTTGTCAGATAATACATTTAAGTTGGTGATGTTGCCAGATGACATTCTGAAGCATGTGATTGATACTTCAAAGATCACTAAAATGATCGATGTTTATAATGGTTGTCTGGCTATATTTTTGTTAGAACACGATACCGTGGGTTCCAGATTGTGCTGTTGGGTCATGGAGAGTTATGGAGACGTAGAATCCTGGACTAAGTTGTACAGCATTGATCTTGATGGACCGTTTGAGTCGGTGGTTGGTATCGGGTCGAATTCTAATATTTTGTTGCAGAATGAGAATCAGTTTTTGGTCTCTCTGGATTTCAATGACTCGGACACTCAGAAGCTGGAAGTGAATGGTTGTTTAAGATCAACAATTAAGGTCAAGTGGTCATCTATTAAGGTCGTTACTCTTGTTGAAAGCCTAGTGTTTCTTGATCGAGGTCGTTAGTTCTGTGATGAGGTTACCTGCCAGCAAATGCTTTCTGATATCCATTCAGGTGGACGATAGAGGTGAATTTGCGAAAAGCAGTAACTGAAGTCTGTGACATGAAACAGCCAAGTTCTTTTCGTTTTTCCGGTCATACTGTTTTGAAGACTTCTTCGTCGTATTTGCATTTAGTAAAACCTTTCTGGAGCATTTATGGGGTAATGCTTGATAATTATGCTTGAAGGAAGAAAAGTTTGAGAGTTTTGTATGGTGCAGACTACATCTCCTTTATGTTTGATACTCAGGAATGCTAGAGTGCAAGCCTGAGAATTGTATGGGGGAATTAGATTAGAAGTGTGACTATGACTAGCTGAATGCTTTGTAGATAATTGGGTACAGGTTATTTGGTATAGATCTGTAAATATTTTCTGTAAATTTTCATTTAGACGGTTCTGAGGGAATGAAAATGAAGTGCTGTTTGGTCTTTCTTACATTCAGTAACATCCATACATAAGTGATTCAGTTAAGGCATTTGATTCCTCTTTGTATCATGAATTGCAAAGTGATAATAAATCTCAACACCTCATGAGTTAGTCAATCTGAGGATATTTCTTTGTACATATGTATGGTTCAATCGAAAAAAAGCTGGCTCTAATGGTGTACATATGATATAAATTGCAGCTCAGTTATTGACTACCTTGGTCCGGACAAAACTGAGGGTATTAATGCGGTTGCATCCGAGGATTTCTGTCCATCATGAGCAGCTGCCATTGTTGTGATTACCGTTGGATATACGAAGTTATAGTCCAGGTTGGTTTCAGAAATCACCAATCCTTCTAATGCCTTGACTACCAGAGACATCAAAGGCCTCTTGGTGTAATCTCCCTGCAGGCACCATGCAGCAATCTTGATCATCTCCTCTGCTTCATCAATGTGGAGCTGCATATCCTCGCTGTTCTTATCAACCAATTCTTGAAGTGCGTCGCCTTCTGCTTTCCGCTTGACAAGATCTAGGAGATGCCTGTCTTCCTCGTCCTTAGACCAATCCAGGTTCTTCCTCCCACAAATGATCTCCAGGACTAAGATGCCAAAGCTGTACACATCCACTTTTTCTGTGATGATTGAGTGCAACCACTCGGGAGCTAGATATCCTGGTGTCCCTCTCATCCTTGTAAGCACTCCACTTTGATCCTTCTCAATAAGCTTTGCCAATCCAAAATCAGAAACTTTTGCATTGAAATTTTCATCTAACAAGATGTTTTGGGGCTTGATGTCAAAGTGAATGATTTTGTGACTGCATTCTTCATGGAGATAAGCTAATCCTTTGGCGATGTCCATAATGATTTTTCTTCTTATGTGCCATGGAAGAGAATTGCCATGATCTTTGTTGAAAATCCATCTATCCAATGATCCGTTGGCCATATGCTCATAGATCAGAATTCTATGTGATTTTTGGAAACAAAATCCAATTAGTTTCACCAAATTCACATGATGGATGCTACCAATTGTCTCTACCTCAACCAGAAAAGACTCATTCACTTGGCTTACACCATCAAGACATTTTGCTGCCATCTTAGTGCCATCGTTCAGTGCCCCTTCATAAACACTGCCAAATCCTCCTTCCCCTAGTTTTTTGGAGAAATCTCCTGTCATAGCTTTCAGCGCCTCGTAAGAGAATATTGTAGGCATTCCTCGTACCTGATCAAGAAAGCCCCCTTTAAGTTTATTAGAGTTCTTTAATCTCTTACTGAAGAGCACAAGGACAAAAGCAATAGCAGAAATCAAGCCTAAGGAAGTCGCAACAGCTGAAGCAACTATGGTTGTCATCTTTTTCTTCTCTGTTGTCAAGACTCGAGGTTTTTGCACCTTAAGATAAAGAGTTGTGTCATAAGGTGAGACGGATCCTGTAACCCTCTCCTTGTTGATGATAGAAAAGACTTGACTCAATAACGAGCACCTGCCATTTTTCCCTAAGGTTTTTCCCCCTAAATCTAACACGAAGAGAGCCGCTTTGCACGAACAGTTACTGAGACACATACTTTTGCAATCCTCAACTGACTTCCCTTCATGCATGTCTAAGGAGCTGGCTTCGAATGCAAAGTAAGTTGTATTCTTTAGCTCCAGCAGAATGTGAGCTTCGGAATGTTTGCAGGAAATGGGAGTGATATATGAACATCCAAGATAAGGTCTCAAGGTATCTGTTTGTTTGAAGAAGTTTCCTTGATCAGGACACTGGCAATCTCCCCTCGAGCAGACACCATAATTCCCACACACTAAAGGTTGCGCACAATCACCGAGTTTAGTTTCAAAAAGATTAGCAACTTCTGTCCAAAATCTCCCAGTAAACTGGAACACCTTCAAACGACCATCAAACCCGAACTTCATGAACTGATATTCCGATCCAGGAGGAATGGACCAGCCATTGAAACTTCCATTCGTGAATTCAACATAAGGAAGATCATCCAATTCAGAGGCATGATATATTTGAGGTGGGTTGGATTCTACATATGCAATCAAGCGATTTTTGTTGACAGAAAGGGACAACAAACCTGAATCAAATCTTGATCTTGACACATTCGCTGTTAACTTCTGCCCTGCAACCAACCTCTGCCCCAGAAGTAATGTATCCGTAGGATAATCGAAAGATTGCCAAATGATCTCATTGTTGGTGCCAAACAGCACCAAGTTCCCCTGTTCAGTTAAGTTCAATCCTGAAACAGATTTCCCTCTTGTATTGGTGGACCAGACCAAAATGCCATCAGAATTCGCCAAGACCAGATCTCCATCTTGCTTTAGTTGCAGAGTAGCATTGACTCCCACAGGATGATCCCTGTTTGCAGACCATACTAATTCAGGGGACCTATGACTGTTGTATGGGTTAACGTTATCACCTGGGAAAATCAGAACTCCAAATACACAATTGAGATCGATACTTCTACAGTAAAAACCGCAAGCGAAATTTGTTCCAGTAACATTGGTTTCTCTGGGCAGGATGGGTGACCATGATGTATAAACCGCTACACCAGTGGCAATAGGGTAAGGATCATTGATCCACGAAGTGGAAAGGTTTGCAGATGAATCATGGTACTGTAATTGGGCACTTAGAAATGATGGGGAAGAAAGAAAAAGAAAAGCTATGGTTGAGAAAATTAGCGGTACCTTTTCCCCTGCAACCATGCTTCAGAAGAGATATTTTGAGAGGCCTCGTCCAGCAAATGAATGAATGCACATGTTCAGCCTCCATTTTGCATCCTTTGTTGACTGATAGACTAAAAGCTAGTGACATTTTAGCTTAAAATGTCTAAAATTTTTAAAATATTGACGAGTCGGAGACTCAGATTTTTGCACCCGATATAATACCCGTATCTGAGTCTCAGGTAACATAAATTAAAAGTGAGGATATGGATGGAGATTTTACATACAACGTGATCCCTGACATTTTTTTTTAAAAGAGATTTCAGTAAAAAGAAAAATACTCTCTTTACAATTTGTTATGCTTATATCAGTAGATTTAAGATTCATTTTGGTTATACTCTGACGGTTTTGTGTACATCATTTGGAGTTTTTTATTTCGGTTTATCATATGATAAATTTGTTTTTGTCTTTTCCATTAAGGTAAGTCAATTATTGATCGTAAATTTTTCTGTTTTTGTTTAAGAAATGGTAAACTTTTTGAGTTACTTATCTCTTAATTTTATCTTTAGTGTCTTTGTTATTTTCCTCATCAGTTATCCGTCACCCAAATAATTTCTCGCAACCCATTTTGCTAGAATATGGTCAAAGTAAGTGTAAGCCAAGTCAATCTTCTCAATAACTTTTGAGAAAGCTGGACTTTTCTTTCTTCGTTCGTGCATGTTGGGGCCCCACTAAATTGTCACAATCTTGCCGACACAAGTCCTTGGTCCCGCCCAATCCTAAGAGTATTCAGTTTAACATTTGATAAAAGGTTTCAATTTTAGCATAGATGTACAAAGGTGAATGTAATTGTTGGGAATAGCTCCTGAAATGTATTTATCTAACACGAGCGACTCGCTTCGCTTGCAGATTAATTGTCGATCTAGAGAACTTTAACACACCTAATTAAACTTTTAAGTTCTAAACTTTATCTTATTGTAATTATTGAAAATAAATATAGATAAATTCTAAGGGATGGTACACTGGACATTTCTTCAATACTAATTTTACTAATACACAAGAAATACCGATTTAAGATTGACTAGACTAATTGAGATTGAGATACTTTATTGTGGAAGGTGTACATATGAAATTATTTTTGGACAAAAACGTATCAAACTAGACAATAATACTTAAGCAGTCGATTAAAGAATACAATTAATTTTAGCGTAGGAGCTGAGACATTATCACTTAATTAGTTGATTAAAAGAAAGAAAAGAGAACACATATGCATGCGGAAAACGCAGTACTTAACCAACCAAGTGAACGATACATGTAACTTGCTTATGGTCTGCAGAGCGTTGGAGGTAATGGAGTTATAAATTTGAAATTACATGAACTAAGCAGCTCACAACATTCTCCTACTCCCTAAGGGTAGCTAGTGGTGAGTCAACAAACTAAGCAATATATGTGGAAAGAGTTCACATACAGATTGGAAAAAAATGGGATTAAACAAGCAGCATACTAGGTAAAACTAAATGCAACACGTAACTGGTCTAAATTCATTACACATCATATCTATAAGCTACAAGGGGAGTGAAACAAGCACCTTTAAACATTATAAATAGGAGCTAAATTTATCGTTGTTCACTCACACCAAAAGCAAAATATTACCTCAAAGGTTGATTGATAAGGAGAGAGTGAGCAGGCTTTGAGAAGTTTGAGTCTGGACAAGGGAAAAGGAAGGAAGAGGAGTTAACATCAACATTTATTTTAAGGAAGGGTTCTTCTCGAAGAGGTAATTAAGAAATCTTGCTCTAGCTTGATCGTTAATTTATGAGTTAAATGATGATTTTCATTATAGGATTAATGTATTTTATGTTCTTAGATGTATTTTGATACTGTTATAAGGTTTAAATAAGAATTAGTGAATTACTAGTGTGAAATTTGATTAGAACTGGTCTAAACCCGAATCCAAAAACATCGCGTAGTTGTACTTAAATTGGACATTACTCATTGTATATTTAGGAGCTGTTTGTTGCTTCATAATCTAGACGTATGCTTTTCAATGGCATAGGATAAGTATCTTGAAGTCTTGAACCATCAAGTATTGATACAGTTTACCCGCCGAAAATGACCCAAAAACTGAGGTTACATTCTTAGTTTTAAAGCCTGTCAATTTAGTTTAGAAAAACTTTGAAAGTACTTCAAGATTCGTTAGGTAGCATCCTTGCCATCTTAAATAATAATGAAGATGATATCAAAACTCGTGAAGTTTGATCTTGGATAGAAGTCCATCAACTAATAAGAAATTCGACTTTTTGAGTAAATTTCTATATTAAAACTATTCGAATATACGTAAGATACTTAACTCAATTAAGTGAATAGAAGCTATAATAATATCTAGTTATCGATTTCGTATTCGATAGATGTGTTGCAGGAAACACCGGACTAGATACGGCTGCCCATGGTAGTAGTACTTAGGAGTAATACTCACTTTTCTTTTAAATTATTTCAAAACATAGAAGAATGGAATTTATAGTTGCAGTTAATTTACTATGATATTAACTACCTATAGTTTATAAGTTTATAATATTGCTAAGTCGGGGCTTCTAAGAGATGGTGAATTGGATACTTACATTTAGCACATTGATTATATATAACAATTGGAGCTGATGAATGCAGAGAATCTTTGGCCAGGGGAATCTTTGGCCAGGGGAGGTTTTAAACCAGAGGGAGAATGTTATTGCAGTTAGAGCAATCACACTGGTGTTATCCAGTGTGTACAGTATGGTTGAAAAGGTAGTTATGGGACTGACTTGAATCCCATCTTCTGTACTCTCTGTTTTGCTTTTCGAATTTTATTTCAATTTGGTTAATATGTATGACCTGCATGTAGGTATATTTTATTTTTGAAAGATTTTATATATATATATATATGTATGTATTACCCATCCATTGATTTATGCAAGTTGGCCCGTGATTAACCAAAATATCAGCAATTTGAAGGTAAAAAACAGAAGTGCGTGAGTTTTTTTTATCTACGCACCACATTAGAATAGACTAAAAGAAGTTTGTAATTGGCACAAAACTTAAGGCTAGTTATCATCAATATTAAAAAAAATTAGATGGCTCCAACGAGAATCGAACCCTCAATTTCCAGGTAATAACTATCCATCATCCTAATCCCATTCAACATTCTAGTGTGGTGTGTAGATAAAGAAACTCACGCACTTTTATCTTTTACTCACAGATTATTGGCAGTTTGGTCAACCATTGGGCCAACTTGCATTAAATAAATGGCTGGCCAATGCATAAAGTAAAAGAAAAATTCTTTTGAAAGTAAAGCATATATCCCATGTGGGTCACACATGTAACCTATATTGAAATAAAACTAGTAGAGCAAAAAAGAGAGTACAGAAGATGGGGTTTGAATTAGTCTCATGTGGCAAAACGGGATCATCTTTTCAACCACACTGAATAACACCAATGTGGTTGCTCTTCGAGATAATGTTACTGACGTTATGGAGCATGATGTAGAAGTCATACATAACCACCTGATGTTTGGGCCGGAGCAAGACTTTGAGCCTATAGTGACGATATGAGTTTTCGAATTATTCTGCCGCCCTCAGAATCACTATCCGGGACCGACCTTGTCAAATGACACTATATGTCTGATAGCATAATAGGAGAACGGAAACTCAAAAAGTCGTATTGTCCCAATAAGCTCGAAAATCCTGCTTCGTATTAGGTTCTGTAGGGCCCCTATATCATGTTCCCTATTATTAATGGCATTATCTCTAATTTCAATGGCATTGTCCTTTTGATTCAGTACTTTTCTGTACTCATAAATTCTCAGCATCTGTCAGCTCTAATTGTCATATAAAATCGATAAGCTGTATCTCACTCACGTGCCTCAAAGCTCATACCTATCACTATTGTAAACTTATAAATTATAGCTCGTGACTAGCATAATAAATTCGGTATAAGTTTAGAATGCATCTTTCCATTTTTTGAAATAATTTTAGTAATAAATTTAGGGTAAGTTTAAAATTCATTTTCTCATTTTTTGAAATAATTTTGGAAGTGTGAGTATTACTCATAAGTACTGCTAATAGACATGATCAATCTTAGAACAATCATTATGTATGTTATTTCATAGATTTTATTTATATTTACTTTATAATGATTATAGCAAAACAAAATTTAGAACTTAAATTTTTGGCGCGTTAATCACATGAACTGCGAATGAAATGGATCGCTCTCCCTAAAATAAATATTCTTTCTGTCCCAAAATTATTGTTCAGTTTGAGATTTCACTTTTATTATAATTTAAACTATAAATGAAAACTCAAACTAGATCATAATTATGGGACGGAGGGAGTAAATAAATTGGTAACCCCGTTGTTTTGGTCTTTCCCGGATTCAGTAACCTGCATCAATTAGTTATATTTACTATCTACTACATCATTTTAATTTATTGATCTCGCTGCCAAAGGAATAAAAGAGACTTCTACGAACGAAGCGAGCAACGAAGTGTTGTTGAATAACTGAACACTTCGAACTATTAAACACCCAAGAATACAACTGAAAATGATCATAATCTAGTTGTAAAGACTTGAAAACAATTAAGAGTTATGTCTGGGATTTTCAAATGTAACTATTATCATTACAATCAAATATATGTAGTAGCTAAATTCGCAATTTTATTTTAAAAATTTTATCATATCTCCACTAAACATGGAAAAAAAATGAAGGAGCTGAGGCTACACTTACCTGCCCCTTGGCTCTGTCACCTGATATGATTGACTTAAAACAAAAACCGAAACGGATAAAACAAGATTAGATACGCACGGAAGCAAAATCGAAAACTGGTTTTATATTATCATTAAAATTTATCTTATATATGATTAAAATCACCATAATTAATCTTTAAGGTGGCAGTTTTGACTTTAGATTTTGCTGCCATTTTTCCCCCCCTTTCTAGTGTTCTATTTGCCGTACGTGGAAGGTCAAGAAATCAAATCATTATTAAATATTCAAAAAGATATACATACAACAATATCATTGGTGCAAGGAAAATACATGTCTGGTTTGTTTGCGAGTGAATTACATTTCAAAACGGACATATTGTGATTGGTATTTTCTAAAAATTTGAAGAAACTATAAATAGCATATAATGGTTTCCTATGCTATTTGATTTTTATTATACACACACAGTCCCTCTCTTTTGACTTAATATTCAGAATACGTCCGGTTGCGTTTTGAGACATCCAATATGATGATTCCAACAATACTGTATAATAACTCATATAATTTATGCTACTTTTGGCAATCCATGGGCTAAACAATTACGTCTTCGTTCCCTTTGGGAAATTTCTGGAAAATTAGTGTCATTTTCTGTCACCTCTCATTAAATTTGTGAAATTGTTTGACTTTGGCGTTGTCATTTTTTTATTAGGTTAAAGATTGTCATCTTCTACTTGTAAAAGATGATAAAAGAGACGTGCTATAGGGAAAAAACTAGAAAGAACAAACCCATTCCACGTATTGTTACGTGACATTAAAAGTTTGATGCGTCACCACAGCTTCAGCGGAGGAATTGAAGTATTAAAGTATCAAGCAATCGATAAATAAAAGAAGAGCTTATCGAATATCACTATTATTTCCTAAGTATAATCCGAGTAAATTTCAAAATATTGTCGGTTTAGCAGAATTTTGAAAAGAAAATGGCCCCCGCGCAGAATCAATAATCAAGAAACAGAGGAGATTTGCTGGAGAAACAGAGTGAGAGACAAAAAAGAAAATGTCTGATTATATACCGGAAGAGCTGTTGATCGAGATTTTCTATAAACTGCCGATCAAGTCCCTCGTGCAATTCACCGCGGTTTGCAAATCATGGTACACTCTGATCACTAGCTCTGAATTTATTTCCATGCTTCTTGATAGAACAAATGAACAAAAGAAAACCCACCAGATTCTTTTTGGGAAATCCATCCATTCATATGGCCAAAAAGAACAGTGTATGTTTAGCTATGATGATGATAGTTGTTTATGTGATAATTCTTCGTCCAAGATTGAAGTTCCATTTAATTTCTCAAATTTGCTGTATAGAATAGTTGGAAGTGCTAATGGTTTATTATGTATTCGTGATGATGTTTGTCTCCGTGACCCTGTTATAATCATCTGGAATCCGTTCATCAAAAAATCGTTGTATGTTCATCCGCCTAATCTCGATGCTGTCGTGCTTAGTTGGCATTTCTGGCAGTCTTTCGGGTTTGGATATGATCATGTCAACAATGATTACAAATTGGTCAGAATCATGCCTTTTGGGGACGGTTTGTTTTCCCCTGTTGTAGATTTTTATACTTTGAGCACCGGAAAATGGCAAGATATTAGTCACTTAGCTCGCGGTTTTTGTATAAATGGAACTTGTGTTTACTTTAACGGGGCATTACACTGGGTTGGAATTGTTGAGGGCGGGAAACATGGAGTTTTGTCGTTTGAATTGTCGGAAAATGTATTCAGAATGATGACGCTGCCGGAAGACATTCTGGATCATGTGACTGATGCTTCAAAAGTCGCTAACTCGATTGAAGTTTATAAGGGATTTCTTGCTGTGTTTCTGTTTGAACACGACAGTTTGACTTCCAAATTGTGCACTTGGGTCATGAAGAGTTATGGAGATGCCAAATCCTGGACAAAATTGTACAGCATCAATCTTGGCGAACCGTTTGAGTCGCTGGTCGGAGTTGGAATGGATTCCAATATTCTATTGATGGATAAAAATCAATCCTTGGTCTCTCTTGATTTCAAGGACTCCGGTTACGAGAAGCTTGAAAATAGTGGTTGTTTAAGATCGGTTAAGTGGTCATATGTTAAGGTTGTCACTCTTGTACCCAATTTAGTCTTTCTTGATCGAGGTCATGAGTTCGCTGATGATGTTACCTGCCAGCGGATGCTTTGTGATATCTGTACAGATGAAAAATAGATGTGAATTCAAGAAAAGCTATTCAAGTCTATGTTTGATATTGCAGACCAAGAATCTATTGTATTTGATACTCCATTTGTTGGCTATAAAAATGATTGTTCCATATAAATTTTTAGTTGTATTGAAAGTGCAAATTTAGATAATCATTCCTGAACATATATACTGGCTAATATGACTCTTGTTCGTGAGATCGTTCGGTTCTTAATATAAAATATTTTGATTTTATCTTATGTTTCATCTAATACGTATTTTAAATTGATAAAAAATTTTAAATATATTTTTTAAAAATCAAAAGTATGCAACGAATATGAAAATATATTATTAAGTTTTTTCTCAATTAAAAATATATATTAGGTGAAACATAGAACAAACCAAAATGACTCATATTAAGCTAATGAGTTAGTACTCCTTACATCCCATAATTATTGTCTCGTTTAGGTTTTCATTTCTAGTTCAAATTATACTAAAAGTAAAATTTTAAACTGAATAATAATTTTGGGAGAGAGAGAGTATTACCTACCCTACAGTATTCTCGCTAAGGAGTTCGGATCTCCTAAGCCACAAAATTTGTCCTACATTACAGAAGTACGTCGTTCGATACGTAAACCTATCGAATTATTTATTAATCTACTAAAAAATAGTAGGGCTCTAGCCAAAGTTAGTCGACCAAGGTTTTTTTTTTTTTTTTTGACTTTTGCCTACGGTTCCTTGATCATTTACAATTCATATAATTTGGTGATAGGCATCGAGCTAAATGCCACATAAAAGTGGTCATTGCCACAAATTGTTTAGGTGTTTGGATTTTGGAACACCTTATTTGGTACTGTACTGTTCTTTTTCTCATTCTTTTGAACTTTTATAGTTTTAAATTAGGACGAATGTGTATTTTGGTCTCCAATGTATTGGAGGTAGCCCAACCTAATCACCAAAAATATTTTGCTATCGATTTTAGTTCCTTAATATTTTTTTATGTCCAATTTTGGTCTTTTTGAAGTTTTTTATAATAATTGCCGGAAATTTTAACTCTCCTGTTAATCTCTGAATTTTTTATTCATTTCCAGTAGGGAATGGGTCCCACATTTGTTGACCCTCAAAAAAAAGTAGAAATAAAAATAATTGTCCTTCCAGATTTCTTCCTCCTCTTACGCCGCCGGCGGCTCCCTCCAAGCTCCAATACACCAACCCGATTTACAACCCGACTCAATTCTCCACTTACCTCCGTGTCCGGTCAACGACCGCACCAAACCCCCGGACATTGCCGTATCCAGCGATTTTAGGGCTGCTGATTTAAGCCCTCGGAGTTCCAGAACCAAAGCCTTGAGTATGTGCGTGGCGGCGTCTTTAGGGTCCCTGGATATGGCTAGATTGGCTTCTTCTACAGCGGATCTGGCGAAGGAGGAGGCGGCGGAGGAGCGATCCTTGGCAGATTTGGCTTGGGCGAAGAGCTGGGCCCCTCGGATGATACATCTGCAGTTGAATTTGGATCGGATGCAGATGATTCTTGTCTCCAACTAGGAAAGATAATTTGAGATTTGCTCGGTTGGCCCCAGTCCATGAAGATGTTATGATCTTATTTATTTACTTCATTAATTGGTTGTGCGTGCATCTATATGTGTTTGCGAATCTTATGCTAATGTGTTGAAGATCTTAACAGGCCAAGACATCTAAATCACCCGCCTATAGTTGTAATGATTACTTCGCTGAAGATGCAACTGGTCATGTCGAGCACGAATTAGATAATGAGCCTCAAATTATGGTGCTTTGGTTAAAAAATTGCCTAAAAAAAAAGTAGAGAGATCTATATATATATATATATATTTGTAAAGCAAAATATGGAGATTGGATTTACAAAATCCGAACTACTAATTAAATTAGTAGTTCAGATTTTACGAATCCAATTTAATAAATAATAATTTTTTTCGGAAAATACATGTGAGAAAAATGTATTGAAAGTCAACTAATGAACAGTTAAGGGTCAGATTTTAGGAATCCGACCTTCTTTATTTTTATGAAAAAAATATAGGCGGGAGCTTTGAAAATTAAGAACAGTACAAGGTCGGATTTACAAAATCTGACCTTTTTTAAGCATACCTAACAGTAGATATCGGCATTGAATGTACGTTATTAGCGGGCTGAAGGTCAGATTCTTGAAATCCGACCTTACACGTAAATCGGATTTCCTAAATCCGGTCTTACTTATAAACTCGGATTTTAGAAATCCGACCTTTTTGTGCTATAATGGGGCGACGGAAAACACTATTAACATATCGGGATTTTTGGTAAAGGAGGCGATTTCTTGAAGGAGGAGGTGATTTTAGTGGCGATTTGAAGATTTTGTTCACGATTCTTCGCAACGGATGTCTTAAAACCATTTCACAAGAAGGTTAGTTAATGTTTTGATGTATTTAGAATTATTGTTGTTATTTTCTTTGTAAAAGTGTAGAACTAGGATGATTTATAAGGTTAGGGTTGATGTTGGGTGTAGTTGATGATTGTTGTTATATACGTGGTATTGAACGTTCAATTTAGTAAAATGCTTGAATTTGGCCTAAACTTTTGAATTTGTAAGGGGTTTAGTAAATTTAGTGTTGATTATGCCTTGTTTGTGGTAATTGTTATAATAAGTTGTTTGATAATGCCTTGTTTGTGTCATTTTTTTAATAATTTGTTCATGATGTGTTGTAATTCATGTAATCAACAGATATAAATGGCTTTTAACGGTCCATATTTCATTAATGTCTATTGGTCGAACAAATTTGTTGTGAAGAATGGGATTGTGAATACTTTTAACAACATGCCGGACGATTCCTTTGTGATTGATCATAAGGTATTGTACAATGATTTGGTTGGACTGATTTGTGAAAGAGCGGGGTGGAATAGAGAGAGTGTGAATTTGAGTCTATCGATTTTGTATGATACGATGGGCAATGGTTTTAGGCGTATCGCCAAAATCAAGGACGACGCATCGTTGCAAGTGTTGTATTTCCTCCCAAATTCGACATATATTGATTTGTATGTAGATTTAGAGGTGGCGGGTATTTCTAGGTCCCATTTGGAAGTAGGGACAAGTAGTGGTAGGCCGAATGTGGAGAATGTCAAGTACATGGAAGATGATGATGTGGGTGGACCGTTTATGGAGGATGGTGATCACATGGAATATAATCACGGTGAAGATGATGAGGACTACACATCGATAAGTGATCAAAGCGATGAAAACCAATTAATATCCGAAGGAAGTCGAGAGAGTAATGAAGAGGTTGAAGACAAATTCGCCACAAAGGACATGCACATAGATCGTTCACAGGGTACATGGGATCATATAAAAGTGGACAAGGATGAATTTCAACTTATCATGTGGGACGGGACAACCGCAACAATTGGGATAGGGACTTGTTTCAAGAATAAGGAAGAAGCAAAAAATGGTATTGCAGCGTGGAACATAGAGCAAAAGAGAGAGTTTTATGTGAAGGAAAGTGATGGTTCAACATGGTATATTTGGTGCAAATCCCTAAAAGAGTCAACCCCTAAGAGTTATGTTCCTTGCCATTGGAAGGTACGTGCCTCCTTGAGAGACCACGGTTTGTGGGAGATTGTGAAATGGGTGCCCGAGCACAATTGTATGAATGTCACCGAGGAAAATAATAATCGGAATGTGAGCGCAACGCTTATTGCGCATCTCATAAGGCATAAGGTTGACTTGGACCTAGATTATGAAGTGAAGCTCGTTCAGGAAGAAGTGAAAGACTGTATGCATATCGATATTCCTTACCACAGGGCATGGAAGGGAAGGAGAAAAGCTATCGATCTTGTTTACGGCGACTGAGTTTCCAATTTTGACATACTTCCAAGGTATTTACTTAAGTCCTATCTAATTTTTTTGATTTGTTTGTAATTTAGGAATAAAATAAGGATTAATTTTTTTTATATTTTAATTTAGGTTTTCGGTCGCCCTAGAGAAGAGCAACCCCGGCACAGTTGTAGAGTGGGAATGGCAACCGGGTTGGACCGATATAGAGAGGACGTTCAAATACGTTTTTTGGGCATTCAAGCCTGCAATTGATTATTTTGCTAAATGTCCTCCGGTGATTAGTATCGACGGGACGCACTTGCGTGGCGGATACAAAGGTAAATTACTTGCTGTAATGGTCAAAACTGCGAATAAGCGCATCCTGCCAGTTGCATATGCGATCGTGGATGAAGAGAGTGAGGAAAGTTGGTCATTTTTCTTGAAGCATTTGAGGAATCATGTTATATCCGACCGTCCTGTGTGTGTTATATCCGATCGGTACAAGGGTATCATCAGTGCAATACGCCTAATGCCCGAATGGAATGCGTACCACCGGTTTTGCCTTCGTCACGTCCGTAGTAACTTGGTGGCGCAGTTTCGAAATAAAAAGATCAAAAGGTTGTGTTGGGAGATGGACACGAAACTTTCAAAGTCTAAATTCAAAGAACTAAGGAAAGAGCTACGTGATTTTAGCAATGATACTTATTTGTATCTCGAGGAGATTGATGCTTGTTAGTGGACTCTTGCCAATACTATCGTTGGGGTAACCAGACAACTAACATTTCTGAGAGCTACAACAACGTCCTCAAGGGCGTTCGTTTCTTGCCGATCCGAGCTTTGGTGGAAGCCACTTTTATTAAAACTGTGGATTTGTTCCAGGAAGAATACGTGAAGCCGAGGAAATGTATTACGCCGGTCCCAACTGACTTGTGGGAAGACTTCAAGAAAAAAGAAAAGAAAGCCGCGCAACACAAAGTCAACCATTATGGTGCTATTAATGGCAAGTTCAAGGTGAAAAGTAGAGCCCGACTTGGTGGTAAAGGGGACAACACGTACACTGTGAAGTATGAAGAGAAGAAGTGTTCTTGCAAGAAGTGGCAATAGTATAGGTTCCCTTGTACACATGCACTAGCCGTGTGTCGGAAGATAAAAGATCAACCAATCAATACGGTGAATCCATATTTCAGGGTTGTTGCATGGCAAGACCAAATCAGTGGGCGCGATGAGTTTTCCCCGGTCCCTGATATGAGAAGATGGCCTAAGGTTGGATGGAGACTCGTTCCTAACTACGAGCGAGTTATTATGCATGCTGGACCCGGTCGTTGGCAAAAGAAGAGATTTAAAATGCAAATGGATTATAGGGGACACAAATCGAGAGGTGAATGTTTGAGATGTGGCTCAAGGAGCCATTTCACCAATGCGTGCCCAAAATCACACAAGAAATCCGATAGGCAAGGCTCAAGATCAATTGGGAAGCCGATGGTATTCACAACGACTAGGATTGTTTGGTTGAATTGTTGTTTATGTCTCAAAACAATGTTTCATGTCTCAAAACTTTTGTAGTTTATGCTTTAGTTTGTTCGATTTGTAGTTTATGTTTTAGTTCTTTTGAATTGTATTGTATGCTTAATGAATTAGTTCATTTAATATATTGTTGTTGTGTTTGATATTAGTACTTGTTAAAAAGGGCCAGGTGCAACAATATTTTGTAGTTTTAGGGTATAAGTCGGAATTACAAAATCCGATCTAGGAATAAAGCCGGATTTCCTAAATCCGAGTTTCACAGAAAATCGGATTCTGTAAATCCGATGTAAGACCTAAATCGGATTTCCTGAATCCGATTTTTGCACTGTTCACTCCAAGGAAGGATTTTGGCCCAAGGTCGGATTTTTGTGAAAATTTGAAACCAATTTCACAACTCTCTGTCAAAATCCGACCTTTTCACTTACTGAATAAATCGGATTTGCAGAATCCGATTTTCGGGGACTATATACTCGGTTGACCAAAATTTGGGGGAGTCGATCGACTCCCCCTTCTTCTCCAGCCCTAACCCGATTCCCCTCCCCGGCGCCCGGTGATTTCCCCTCCCCGGCGATTTCCACTTCCACTGGGCGCGAATTCTCCCCAGCGACCCTCCTTCCCCGGCGACTCCACTCCTCCCCGGCGACTCCCCCCTCCCTGGCGACTCCAGTTTAATAATTCAGGTAATTTGTTTCGTTAATTCATTTTAATCAACCATTTTCGTTTTCTTTTTCCTGGTGACTCTGTTGTGTGTGTGTATGTTTGTGAGTGTGTGTGTTTGTGTGTGTGTTTGTTCGTGACTCTGTGTGTGTGTTTGTGACTGTGTGTGTGTGTGTTTGTGACTCTGTGTGTTTGTGTGTGTGTTGGTTCGTGACTCTGTGTGTGTGTGTGTGTTTGTGTGTGTGTGTGTGTGTTTGTGACTCTATGTGTTTGTGTATTGATAGTATTGTGTGTGTGTTTCCCGGTGACTCTGTTGTGTGTGTGTGTTTGTGACTCTCTGTGTGGGTGTGTGTGTTTGTGACTCTGTGTGTATGTGTGTGTTTGTGACTCTGTGTGTTTGTGTGTGTGTGTTTGTTCGTGACTCTGTGTGTGTGTGTTTGTGACTCTGTGTGTTTGTGTATTGATAGATTATGGAACATGGTTTATTGATAGTATTGGTATTGATAGTATTGGTATTGATAAATGTTGATAGTATTTGTATGAAATTTGGTTTATTGTTCAATGGTTAGTAGATTATGGAACATGGTTTATTGATAGTATTGGTATTGATAAATGTTGTAGGATCAAAAAATGGAGGGTTCGAGCTCCTCGCAACCTGCACTGCAACATTTTAATCCGGCTCCAATAGATGACTCGTTATTATACCTTTATGACCATCATAGGGCGAACGCCATTTTCGAGAACCATGAGGCGTTCAGTAAAGCCCTTAAAGGTAGGAGATTTGATAGTCATTTTTGGACGTGTATAGAGAAACCATCCCAGCATTGCCCTCCACAAGTTATAGATGAGATAAAGCGGACAGGCTTTGGGGAGGTGATCCAACTAGGTTATATCCAAGCGGACAATTGTTTGATCACCGCAATGGTTGAGAGGTGGAGGCCTGAAACTCATACCTTTCATTTTAATTTTGGCGAGGCCACTATTACTCTAGAAGACGTTGAGGTGTTACTAGGTTTGAAAGTGGATGGTAAGCCTGTGAAGGGGATGACACCTGAGAATTCTATGGCACAGTGGATGGCGATGTGCTTTAGATTGTTGGGAATTACACCCGTTAGTGACATGTTTGATGGGAATAAGATTTATGCAGAGTGTTTAATCAACGAGTATCTGCGTTCGGTCCCAGAAAATGCCCCAAGAGAGGCCTATACACAGAGGGCCCGTGCATTACTTTTACTACTGATTGGAGGTTTCTTGATTCCTGACAATACGGGAAATAGAATACTGCTTTGGATCCTGACAATACTCGAAGATTTGGATGTGTGTACTACCTACAGTTGGGGGTCAGCTGTGTTGTCGAAGTTGTACTTTGCTTTGTGTCAAGCTTCCGTGCCCGGGAAAAAAGACATTACCGGATGTTATATGCTGATGCAGGTAAATTTTTTTGTTTCTTTGTTTATTGATATTTTTTTTATTATATTTTTGTTTGTTTTTCTAATTTGTACCTTTTCTGTTTGATTTAAAATTTCAGTTATGGGTTTGGGAGCGTATCCCAAGACTTCAACCGAAGAGGAAGGTTAAAGATGAGAGTTACTTGGTGCCGGACGCTCCACTAGACAATAGGTAATTATAGATTTATTTTATCAATTTTTATTTCCTATTATGTCTCAATCCAATGATTTATTTTATTAATTTTTATTTCCTATTATGTCGTAGGTGGAAATGCCCAAAATTCAAAGCGAACATCGCCGCTCATTGTGTTGCTGGCATCAGGGATCAGTTATCTAGCCTAAGGGATGGGGATGTAAGTATTGATTTAAGTTACTCGATAAAATTCCTTTTTATTTTTTTCTCTATTTTTTTTACCAATTTTTTAATTTTGGCCAGTTTCTATGGACTCCATACACTCCCTTCATCGACGATCTCCCTGATTTCTGTAAGAGGGGGTTCATTTCTACCTCTGTAGGACGTGGATCTTTTGTTGGGCCATCAGAGAACCATACGAGCCCAATCGGGTCTTTCGTTAATTTCAATGTAAGCAAACTGTGCCAGAGTACCCGTTAATCAATGACATTGATCGGTGGAATGCGATACACCACGGATGCCTTGGGACTGGAAAGACATATGATGATTGGGTGCAAAAACACACCGAGGTATGACCTCATTGGAATGTGAGAGATCAGCACGTGGTCCCTCATGAATTGGTTGATCCGGAACTAGGTCCTCAGTGCACATCAGACTACATGTCGTGGTTTCAAAAGAAGACTATCAGATTTATGACTGATCCCACTCAATACGGCCCTCTGGCACAGGGTTATCACTCGTCTTCATCTCTGGAGAGATTTTATGTAAGATATTGATATGCTTATATTTTACCTATTTATTATATCCCTAATTTGTGATTTTTGCAATATATTTGAGTACAAATATGCTATTTATGTGATTTTATCTTTAATTGTAGGAATTGTACTAAAATGAAGAATTGTTGAAGTTTTGAGCTAAAATCGAATTAAAAGCAACTCAATGGGAAAGAATTGAAGATTGAAGCAATTGATGGGGAGGAAATTAATGAGTTTAGAGAATTAGAGGGCCAATGATGCAATTTTGGATTGGTTAATTAAGTTTTTGGAAAATTGGCCGAGAAGGTTATGGTTATGCGGTCGATTTGGGATTGGAATTGGATAAGAATTTTAATCCCGATATTAATTGGGAAACAAGTTTTCTTGTTCTTCAAGGAGTAGGGTTTAGCCGGAAGCCTATAAAAGGGGGATTAGAGATTTATTTTTACAACAGAACTGAACCGAAAACTGGCCGAAAACCTTACGGCTGCAAACCACCTCCCCCGCACTTCACCTTCTCCGCCTTCCTCTTCACCGCTGCAATTCTCCTCCTCCTTCACCGGCAGCCTCTTCTCTTCCTTGTCTCCCTCGCTCACACACCATCTCCCCCGCTGCAACTCTTCTCCGCCTTCCTCTTCACTGACGGCAGCCACGCACCACTCCAGCACCATCTTCGTCCTCCTCCACGCACCACTTCACGCACCAGCCGTAGTTCACCTCTTCCGAAACCGAGACCATCGGCGGCAGCCTCTCCTCTTCTCCACAGCCGAGCACCATATCTGCCACTTCACCGGCGAACCACCGAAGCACCTTCCTCCATCATTGATCACCGG